ATTGATCTAACTTAATTAAGTCATTATACATATTGTTATAATAAAATAAAGAACATAATAACCCTTTAATTTTAGGTAAAGGTAAATATTTGAATGTTTGCACATGACATGATTAATACATAAGAGCCTAATAAAAACCTTGCTTATTAACCTTAAGAAAATTCGCATAATAGGTGATTGGTTGAACATTAATCTTTTATGAGTAGACTCATAAAGGTCTATTTACACGAATTAAAAGGAATACATAAAGATAGTTCTAATAGAACAATGATAAGATTAAACGAAATAACTTTGGTTCAAGAAGACTAGAAGAAAAATTAAACATGAACTTTCGTACTTAATTAATTAAATCCTCCTCTTAATCTTATTTAGCTTCTTGCTATTGCAGGCCTTGTCATTTTTTACCCTATAATACTTGCGAATCATAGTAATTTTGTTTGTGGTTGATCTTGTATTTCCTCGTCTCAATTCACATTCATAATCATCATTATCATAATCCTCGCTTTCTTCCGCATAACAATTATCATTAGCAATATCCGATTCTTGATCAAATTCTTGACTTTGTTCAACCACAATAATCTTCTGCTCTTCTTTCTTAGTCAAGGACTCTTCGTCGGATGCATCGTGTTGATACAACTCCGAGCGATCATCATCATCAAGAAAAAGAACCTTATGAAACGAAGTACCCAAACACGAGCGGATGACGTTGTGAGTAGCGTCATTAACGTACACGACCCGAGCACCATCCAAACACAGCATCGCCTTGTATAAATCATGGAGATAAACTGGCTTAAAACCATCCACCTTCGGTTGAGCTTCATCAACGTAAAGAGGAGGTAGAAAATCATCTACATATGGGGTTATTGCGGCCATAATTGGAGTGTTTTTAGCTAGGAATTTAGGTGAAACAAAGAAGAGAAAGTACAAGGCAATAATATCTAGTTAACTAACACAAGTTTATTTGTAACAAATAACAATTGCATGAAGTCTTAGGTTTTATAATTACATATTATAGGTCGGTTACGTATAGGCCAAGTTTAGGAAAGTTATCTAAGCTAATAAGATATGATATGCTGTTCTATTGGTTTAGTTAAGGAAAGTTTATGAAATATACATGTTTAGTCTTCACCAATTCTCCAAAAACGTGGGTATACATTAATTAATTGTAAGATGGATTAAAGTTATCTTAAAAGTATTTAAGCTTACCCTTTATAATACAAATGTTATTATTTTTCTAATAATAAATTTTATTTTACAAAAAACTGATAATGTATTAGATTAATCATATTAGGTTTTATAGTATATAATCATGAATCAATATGAAATTACACATTAAAATAAATTTTAAATCACTAAAAAATTAATAGTTACTCTTTTAATGATTAAAATTACCATAAAAATAGTTAAAATTACCTAAAACCGACCATCTTACAATAAAACTAACATACACTTGACTTATACAAGAATTACTGTTTAATCTTTGACCACAACCTTTTATATTTTTATCCTACAATGCTACAAATGTAGACCAAGCTTGTTATTTTGGCCCCATGTATATATGTTTGTTAAATTTTTATATATTTTTTTAAATTTCAATGCTAAGCCATTTAGCCCATTAAACTTACGGTAACTCATGACATCACCCAAATCCAAGGATTATTTATTCTTTAAATCAATGCCACTAAAATCAACGATAGGGTTGCTTAAGTTATATCATTATCAAACCTGTGTTTTTGAGGGCCTATTCACTTCAGCTTGATTTCAGTTCAGTTTGGTTCATTTCAGTTCAACTCCTAATTTCATTCTCTTATAAAATATTCATTCCACCTCAGTTCGATAAATGTGTTTCTACTATAAAAAGTATATAATAAACTAATGAACGGAACACGTCAACACGGTATATATAAGGTAAAGCAAGTGAGCAACTAGTATATGAATTACTCCCTCTGTCCCCAATTGTTTGCCCCAAACCACAAATCCACTTTATTAAGGTTTTGGGCAAAAATTGGTGCACATGGGTTGACACAAATATCAATGAGGAGAGAGATAGAGAGAGTGCAAGTGGGAAAACATGCCAAAAGTAGTATGGGGCAATCTTTTGGGGACATCTTAAAAAGGAAAGTGGAGCAAACAATTAGGAAGAGAGAGAGTATTTGTTATCACTTATCAGTGTTATACGAAGAGAATGAGCTTGTACAATTTTTTAAAAAATAATAATAAAATAAAATAAAAAAATTCCTTCTAAAGTATATAAGTTCATGCATGGTATGTGTATGAAGTTGGTTGCGGTTAGATGGGCTCAAAAAATTGGCTTGGGGAAAAAGGTATCTTGCAATTTCTTTTCAAGCAAGATACTATTGTCTTTTTTCACAAGAATTGTCACTAAACTTATTTTTATCTTTTTTTACCATCCCCTATAAAAACAGATTTACTGACCCTTCAATTCCATCTCCTCTATCTCTTAAATCATCATACATAAGTGTTTAGTGGTACTAATTCTAGAAGTTCAGGTAATGTAATTATAGTTTATTTTAATTACTCCTACTATTCTTATTAGTCCGAAATTTATTGTCACCTTGATAGTGTTATTTGAGTAGGCAACTGGTAATTAACGTGACAATGCAACCAAAGTCCGTAGGAATGTAATATTTTACTAATACTACATAAAATTTTGATTAGAAAATTCTTCTAAGTTCATTCTGTGCTCAAGTTTAATTTATTTTGTGACAGGAAAATGGTGAACCCACTGAAGTATATGCTTGAGAATCCGAAAATCAACCCGAACCGGTTTGATATGTTGCTGAAAAGCCGGTTGTTTAGCTACTGCAAAGTTGCTGCTGGAGGTTTAGTTGTTGCTGGATTTGCAAAACTAGCTTCTTTCCGTGAAGGCAGTGGCAATGGCATGTTTCAAGTTAGAGAATGGTTCAAAAATATTCGCGGAAAAGGATCAGAGAATAACTAAGGACTTATAAGCATTCAAGTGTTCTTATTATGGATTATGTTAATTAGTTTTTGTGAGTTTAAGCTTATTACAATTATATATTCAGTTGAAAATCTAATTAGGTAATTTAACATTTTTAGTTGGGTGATAAAATTGGACTCTGCCTTACTAGGCATTGGGATTATGATGTAACCAGTCAATCAGATACATTTAGTTTAAAGCTTTTGATATTACTTGCTTGATTATGTTTGTCTAAAGGTTTTTTATTCGCGCTAAAGATATGCAATTTAATTCATAAATTACATTACAGAATCTTATGTAAAATTTAGTACTCCTGCTGTTCTTAAATACTTGATCACTGCTATGTTTTGTAGTTTCAATTGTCCCAAAATGCATCCTCGAAAGAAAACAGCAACCAAGGTTAATGTACTAATTTCCGGTTATCGTTCATCACCCTCCCTCTATGCTACTGGAGAATTGGATTCTTGACTCGATTCTTAAGCATAAGAACGCCTACTGGAGTATGATTTTCCACTCCAGTTTCTCATGTTTTAGTAGTCTTTTAATTACTATAAAATGATATTTAAGTTTCATACGATTCCCTGGAAACAAACACTTGACTGTTTTATTAAACGACGAATCAGTCTTGGCAAACATTGGTTAGGCAACATAAATGAACACCAGAATTCAATATATGATCAACTCTAATCTTTTACAGCAATGTTCAAGGAAGATAGCCTAACCAATAAGGCAGAGTTAACAGATGAGTTGTTTCTCTTTTTGATATTTATGTAGCTTTTCTATTGTGAAAAAGAACTAGATTAATTCACTAAGCTAGTACCAGACAATGTAAATGGCTTAATTGTATTGACTTGAAAGCTATAAACAGATTATGTGTTTCTGCTCAATCCGAAGGAATTTCATTCAGTGATCAGTATTCATGTTGTCACAATCTTAATGAACCAAGCTTCTGAACCAAATGTACCGCATTATCTTTCTTTCTTTGTCAAGCAGAGCCTGTTTGAGATAGCTGAAAATCGAAGCAGGAGGCCTAATGCTAGACTTAGCTCCATTATTTTTTCAGGATTCGTGCACACGTCTTTCAACCTATCTGCTTGCTTGAAGCTGTTAATCAATTTAGCAGACAGATGAACTCCTGGAATAACCCTCTTGTCCTTCATCTCATTCCAAATCTGTTTGCATTCTGGAAGCTGTATATTTCTTTTCATGCAAGGGACTGCTGCCTTTTTGCACAAGAAATATGTAATTCTAAATTTGTATTTTATCTTCTTTTACCGTCTTCTATATATACAGGATTACTAACCCTTCAGTTCCAAATCCTCTATTTCAATTAGGCTTTTACATCATCATTCATACATTCATCATCTGCAATTCTGATTTTAGGTCTTCTAAATATCCAATTTCTTCCTCAATCTTCGCTACTTTGTTTCTATGCAATTCTCCGTATGTGCTTTCTTCTTTCATTGCTAAATTACTACTCCCTCCATCCAAAATTGCTTGTCACATTGACAGAAAGTTCGGAAGAGGTAGTACTTTGAAATTTGGTTGAAAATCACTGAAAGCGTTTCTACTCCTTGTTTCGTTTGGCTAATAATCCTACATGCACTAATCATATATTCATCTAAATCTTTTACTAAAATTTAATCTCTGTTTGTGGCAGGAAATGGCAAACCCACTAAAATACATGCTTGAAAATCCAAAAATCAACCCAAACCAATTTGATATACTATTGAAAAGCCGGTTGTTTACTGCAAAGTTGCTGCAGGAGGCTTTTTAATTGCTGGATTTGCAAAACTGGTCTTGTACTGTGAAGGAAATGGGTATGGCATGCTTAAAGTTAGAGAATGGTTCAAGGGCATTTATGGAAAAGGACCAGAGAAAAATTAAGCATGGTGTTTGCAACTGAGTATTCTTATTAGTTATTATGGATCATGTTAGTTAAGTAATTTGTATTAGTAATTCCGGTTATTATGATTAGCTGAAGCTGCTAATAAGAATTAGGAACCAACACTTTTTGGTTTGTAATAAAATTGTAACTTTGTTTTAGTAGGCATTAAATGGATCATGTAACCAGAAAGTTTAAAGTTAATCCTATGAATTACCAAAACCCGAATCAGTCTTTACAAACAGTGGTTAGGCAACAGACAATGGACACAAGAATTGAAGGATACATCATCCTATTTTAAATATATTTCCATCACAGATTAAGGACAAAACAAAAAAGCTTGATCGATACAGTAAGTCACCAAGAAGTAAGGTTTAAGACCAGAAAATTGAAAAAGCATGGAGCACTGATTAAGTTGAGTAAGGCTGACTTGGATTGCATCCGGAACTATGAGGCAGATGAACTGATTCTTCATAATTCTGAATTGGATTGTAATCATTTAGCCGATTTAGGTTTAGGTTGTCTTTTCATAGGATTAGGAGCGAATCTTAATGCATTAAACTTCAGAGTCAAACTTTGAGCAGTATCTTTCTTTCCCTCATCAAGCAGAGCCTGTTTGAGTTTGCTGTAAACAATAGCAGGAGGCCTAATGCCGAGATCCATCATTTCATCAAAATACTTGCACGCGTCTTCCAGTTTATTTGCTTGCCGGAAGCTGCTAATCATTGTAGCAAACATATGCATTGCCGGAATAACCCCCTTAGCCTTCATCTCATTCCAAATCTTCACTGCCTTATCTAGTTCACCTTTGCTGCAGAACATTCTCATTATAATACCATACGTGCATGTTGTAGGATCACAACCTTGATCATTGCTCATCTTTAGGAAGACGGAATATGCCTCCTCATGTTTTCCAGCCTTCACTAAGTGATGAATAATTATGTCATATGTTCTAGAATCTAACCCAACCTTACATCTCCTCATTTCATCAACCATTCGAAATGCTTCATCAAATCTCAATGACCAACAATATGAGCAAACCACAGCATTATAAGTGGGTGCTTGAGCAACACCATTAGCTTTCGACATCTCAAACATCTTCAAAGCTTCACCGAGTCTCCCATCCGACCCTAACCCATTGATCAAAATACAATAGATATGCCCACTAGGCTCAATACCCTTTGCTTCCATCTCTTGAAGCTTCTCCACTGCTAGACTCACTTTCCTCGCTTTGCAATACGCGTTCATAATAATTCCATATGCCACAACATCAAGCTCAAACCCTTCCTCTTTCATTTCTCTATAAACTTCATCTAATTTCAGAAAATTCTGCTGTTGACCCCAACCTTCCAACAATATTGAATAGGATTTCTTATCCGGCGTAAACCTTCTCTTTTTCATTTCATCGAACACTTTGTGTGCATCCTTAACTTGTCTAGATTTACACAATGTATCGAGAAATTTATTGAAATCCGACGAATCAATCGTCATTCCATACTTTTCCATCTTCTCAAAAGTACTAACAGCATACTCAACCCTTCTTGCCCTAGCATATCTTCTAATAATTAGATTAAATGTATATTTTGTTAAAATCCCTTTGCTTTTCATAGATTCAACCAAACTCCAAATCATGCTAAACTGTTTAACTTTACCCAATGAATCAATCAAAGCATTATAACAATCATTTGTATGTTTAAATCCCTTTTGCTTTTCTGCCCACTTGAAAAACCCTAAAGCAAGAACACCTGCATTACTTAGCTTCTTCAAAACCTCTAAAACTAAAATGGGTGTCATTTCTTCAACCCCACAATTTTCTAATGTAGATTCAATGGTAGAATCTTTTGGTATATTCAACAACTTTTTGCAAATTTTCTCAGAATCTATGATAATTTGAGGGGTTAATTGTGTTGGCTTGTTTTCTTCCTCTGCTTTCGCTTTAGGTATAACTGGGGTATTCGTTGAAGACCCATGAATTGAACTGTTAAATAACACTGAATTTGCATTTATCAGAAGAATTGGATGAATGGGTGCAAACAAAGATGAAAAAACTGGGTTTTTAAGGGGAGTAGTAGTGAGATTTGAAAACTGGGGTGATGAAGAAATGAGCTTTGTGAATGTTGCTAAATGGCGGGATAAGATGCGAGAGAAAGCCATTATTATGGCGAATTTGTTAAAATTTTACTAGAAAAGACTGGGTTTGCGTGAAAATAAGGCTGCAAATTTGGTTTTATTTTTAGGGAAACCAAAGTTCTGATTTTTATGTAGAGTAAATATGTATTCTGGGTTGAGTATGAATGTATAGTTACTGCCTTACTGGAAAGTTAACGGCTAAACTTGAGGATGATTTACAAAAATATACGTATTACTACCTCCGTTACATATTATTACAACAATTTGACAAAAATTGTCTAATCGTTGCAAATATTATGTAACGGATACAAATTTAGGTACTAACATTTATAATTTTTCACCTTTTGGGTACTCCCACTTTTTTTTCACCGTTTGGGTACTCAAGTGTACAATCCGGTGATAAAGTGAGTACCTGGGTTAAATAAGTTAGTACCTTGGGTTAAAGAATTTATTCTATTAAAATTCCCCAAAAAATGTTAGTACCTTATTTTCTAAAGAAGTCCTAAAGAACATTAAATTTCATTAAATAAAGTCATACGACATCTACAATTGACAATTAACGATAATGAAAACGAATTTATCAGAATCAAACAAGAATTAATCGGGGAAGGGCTAAGAATCCAAATACATAAATATAATAATTCGGCACATTCTCGATTCGTTGTCTCATACAACTTTTTGAGTGGATACGTCGTCACTTCGCAATTTTGTGAGAAAGTTAATTCTTGTGCTGATTCTGTAACCCGAATTCGAGCCATAATCAATCGTAGCCCCGCACAACCGGAGACCAAATTAAACCCAAATAAAACCTTGTCTTTCGAAGGAGTCCGAAAAACCTTGTCTTTCGAAGGAGATCGAAAAAACCTTGTCTTTCGAAGGAAATAGACCCTTTCTTTCGAGGGAGATATTATTATTGTAACCTTAGAAACAAAAAGCTTAAAAGAAAATAAAGATTGGGGCTTTCCACCGGTGAAATCCGATGGAAGCCCCTTCAAAATTAACAATTAAGGCTAGAGTTTAGGAGAGAAGAGAGAGAGGAGGCTAGGTTTTTTTTTTTTTAAATGTCAGTACCTTATTAATTGCACCTGACCATGATTGGATGGGGGCTTCTAGGGGACGTACACATGTCCACGGGGAAGAGGGAAATTCTGCTGCAAGTTACGTAAACAAGTATTCCAAAATAAAACCTTTCATATTTCTGAAATTTAAAAAAAAAAAAAAAAAAAAAAAAAAACCAAACGTCATGTACTGGGTATTTAGTCCATTTAGGCGCCATTTTTTTCTCCCCGCTCTGCAAATTTTCTCTTTTTCTTTTGAATATTGTTCATCTTTGGTGGCTCCCAAATCTGGTAATTGTGCAACAATTTCGCAAGAATACTGAGGTAAGCAACATACTCCATTACTGTGCAAGTTTTTTTTTCTTCGAAAATGTTTGTATTTTGATCTGGGTTGAAATAGGGTTTAGGGTTTTTTTTGTTGGTTGAATTTAGATGCTGGATGTGTTGGTAGTTGTATACATTTAGGTTATGTGTATGTTGATTGTTTCAGTTGGTTGTCCTTAATCTTTATTATGAGTTGTGGTTAGGGTTTAGTTGAAAACAGAGTGTGGAGAACAAATTTGAAGGAATGAAGGCTTGTTGATGGCTTCGTGCTGTTGCTTATGTTGCTTTTATGAATTTTTTATTTTTGTTTTTTTTTTAATTTCAACGACTAGTTGAATATTTGCAGCACACACCTTCAATTTTTGGGAATTAATTTTTTTTTCGTTAAAAATATTTGGAATATATTTATATGCCTTTGGATATGTATGCTTAAATTGATGAAGGTACTCACTTATTTCTAACGTTTTCCAAGGAGGGGACTAAATTTTTTTGCCTAAAAACTAAAAGAGGGGACTCACTTTTGCTCAGGTGAGTTTATGTTGAGTTAATTGGCCGGAAACCTAACTAGAGGTCCCAAAAGGTGAAAAAAAAAAAGTGGGAGTACCCAAAAGGTGAAAAAATGAAAATGTTAGTACCCAACATTATACTTAACTCTGTAACGGAGGTAGTACTAATTTACTCCCTCCACCCCTTAATTACATTTCTATTTCTAAATTTACACAGGAATTAAGGAATTTGGAGTAAATTTAAAACTCATGATTAAAAAGTGCAATGGAAACTACAAAATATTTATTGTTGTCTTTGAAATAAAATAAAGATAGAATGATTTTAAACGAAGCACATATCATCAATCCTTTGAAAAGAAAAGGGACCAGTCACATTTGCTTATGAAAAAATAAAAGGACCAATCATATTGAATTATAATTCTGCACATGAATTAAGAATGTTATGAGTGAGAAAATTATGGTTTCTGTGCAACCATTAATTGCTAAACAGAAAAATAATTAAAGTGATGTCACATCACAACTATTTAGGGATGAATTGGGGATATTTGGTAAATTTCGCTTACTAAAAAGGGAAAGTTAAAATGTAATTTTGAAACACTCAAAAAGTAAAGTAGGAATGTAATTAAGGGACAGAGAGAGTACTATTTTGCGTTGGAATGAAACTTATTTATGAATATGTAGTCCACGTAGACTTGGTAATACATTTGGGGTAATTTTTTCGTTAAAGACAAGGTAGCGGTTTATAGTATAAAACGTGTGCCCTTTAGTACACTCCAACTAAAGATACAGAGTAGCATTATAAAGGGTAAAACCGCTACCTTAAGTAGCGGTTATAGTACATAAACCAACCTACTTGAGGTAGCAGTTTTACTTTGAAAAAAAAAAACAAAAACAAAAATTAACTTATTCGAGCATTCATGGACAGTAGCTCCGTAATTAAGTTTTATTTTGGCACAGAAGTGTAAATAAGTTTTAAAATAACCATATTTATGTAAATCATCCTAAACTTGATATATCAACAATATAAGCAGGAATATACACTCGAGGAAAACATAATAACTGACTTAATCACACGTGCGTAGTGACAGAAAAGGAATTTTTTAAAATAAAGTTAGGTTATTCAGATAAATTAGGTATTTTCCGGACTAAAAAAGCGAGTAATATACAATTTAGAGTACTAATGTTTGGCAAAAGTTGCAAAGAAGGTTCTCAAGTTTCAAAAGTTGCAAAGAGGGTACTTTACCCCTTATTGTAGGTAAACAATCCTGTTGGACTGCCTGAAACCGGTTGATACCTTTTCTCGAAAAAAAAAGTAAAACTGTTTAAAAATACTCGGTTGTACTTTGGGAAACGCAATTCATCATTACTTTACTCTGACGTTGGCGCGAAAATTGGAAAGCTGGATGCCTTTTTATTCTCCCCTCACCCCACTGGCTTCCCTCATCATTTCCTTTTACAGATAAAAAACAGAGCTCTCCCTGAATAAAATAAATAAATAAATAAATAAATAAATAAATAATAATAAAAACTCGTCCTTCCTTTTCGAGCAATCTGTTGTTAATGTGGGAGTGTGCTTGGGAATCTTCTTGCAAGAAAGCGAAAGTAGATCAGTCGCAATCTACTGAAGGTATCAAGGTATATTCCCTTTTTTTTGTCTTCATCTTCTTTATTTCCCCATTAATGGTGTTGTTTGTACAGATTTGTTGGTTTTTTTTTTATTATTATTTTTTTTGTGCGAATTTTGCTTTAAAATGGTTTTGTCTTGATTTTTGTTGTTGTATCATGTTGTAACTTGTATGTGTATTTGTGTTGTTGTGGCTGATTATCAAAATTGGGTTGTTTTTTTGGTAGAATTGCTTGATAATTTCTAGGGGTTTTGTGTTGGTGAAACGTAGTAGTTTTTGAACATGGAAAAGACCTTGTCTAACTCCATTAATTTACCTAGGTATACGCTCTTTTCAATGCTCACCCAATTTTCAGCAACCCTGATCTGCTTGTCCTCCATGTCTTCCCAAAGATGGACTAGGGGAGTCGGGATACTGTTAAGCAGGTCTGCAGGAAATGGCTTCTGTGGTGGATGACTTGCCACATCGCCCGACTCGAACCCTTTTTCGGACCCAGGGCCTCTGTCAACGAGTGGATTCTTAACGACCTCATCTACAATGATGGGCGAGACTTTCATGCCTGGATCCACAAGGACATGACAGTTGTAGACACCTACTTTTGGCCTCTTGTCCCGAAAGGAAGTGCGATGATATTACAAAAATCCATTCTTCATGTTAGATCCAAAGTTGAAGTGTTTATGGGCTACGAAATTCATTATGAAGTAATTTAAAACTCATATTTGAGACCAAGTAATCTTAGAGCCTTGTCCGATTACTAATTAGGCCTAAAACGTGCTCATACATGTTTAAACTTGATTATTAACGAACCCAAATGCGGCAAATGCAATGATTCGATCCAATGGATCTTACATTACCGAGCCAAACAGATAAAACAACCATCATATTTCCATTCATGGCCTATACAGATGGATAGCTCTTTCAAAGAGCTTTCCAACGGTATATTATAAGCCCAATTCCGAGTTAAAACGAAGAATTTTTATGATCAAAACACTAAATCGGGCCCTAAAACCGACACCCTTTCACTCCAACGGCCATATATTTTGATCCATAACATATTTTAACCTAATTCTAACGGCATTGGAAATTAGACATTCAGAGCTTTCCAATGATATCTCACACGCCTAAATCCGACTTTGCAATCAAAAGTTATGGACGTTTTAAAAATATGTTTTTTGTATATGGAAAATCGCATCCCAGCGCAACTCAGTAAGTTGTGCGCGCTTGGTGCGCGCGACTCATTGAGATGCGCGCGGCACCCAGCGCGACTCAAAGAGTTGTGCGCGCCAGGCGCGCGCGACTCATTGAGATGCGCGAGGCACACAACGCGACTCAGAGAGTTGCGCGCGCCACCTGAAGGCGCGACTCTAAAACCCTAAACCTAGATCCCTACGCCTATAAATATGGGTCTTCGTTCAGCATTACGTGGATCGAAAAAATCAGAATTAAAACCCTAGTATTCTCAAAACCTGATAGGTTGTCGTGCACCTGTCAAATATAAATTCCTAACAAAACCAACTAACAATGTAGTAGGGTAAGTAGGGTCGAATCCAAAGGGAGATGGTATTCAATCTAACCTCAAGAAATTGGAGAAACTAAACTATGTCACGAAATTGGGATAGGGAAGTAGTCTAA